TTGTCACATTGGAAGGCGCCTTTGTTAACAGCTGGGGGAGGCCAGTTCAAGCCAATGATGTCCCAAACGAACTGCTTGCAAGTGTCAATGCAAAGATAAAGGCAGATGCGGCTCAGCCGAAGAAACCCGTTCCGTCCAGACCGATTCCAAAAACCAGTGAAGCACAGGAGCAAGCGAGTGGCATATCAGTTAGTAAAGGCCCGCGCTCGAAAGTGTTGGGCTTGCCAGAACAAGCGGCGACGGCACAAGGAAAACGGGCGCCTTTTGGTACCCTTCCCCAAAACTTGGGCCCGATACCTAAGCCGGCCGGGGAAGTTCGTCGGAGCGATGCTGTGCCCCATGCAAATGCCAAAAAGCCAGGAATGCCTCCACCCAAGCCTCCAAGCACTGATTAGATGAAGGCTCTCCCGTGTGTTTTACGTAGAAGACGTAACGTAAAGCCTGATGGAAACATAGAGCCTAGTGCTGCCTTCCAGATAACCTGCAGCTCGTCAGCAATATGTTGTTACACAGAAGCCGATGGCTATGCTTGCCAGTAGACCCACCGAATTCTCATTACGACCGACGCGCCGAATTTTTAGGGGTTTTTGCTTGCCTCATTCGCCGTTCCAAAACCACCAAGGTGCGATTTCAAATACCCGACTAGCTCGGAGACTTGCTAAGCTCCTTGCAACTTCTACATTTAATGTGAGGACGCTCCAAAGGAGCGGCCTCTCCCCCTTCTTTCCTACTCATGGACTGGCGTTTTCCTGCTGTCATGAAGTTCACCTGTATTCTCCGCTGCACAGTGTTTTAAGGATCCAGCGGAAAGTGGGCGCCTGGATGCATGGGCATTCTATCAAAATTCTGGGAGTCCACCCCAGCCCAATTCTCCGCGCAAGCCCGGCACAGCTGCATGCATAAGTTGTCTTTGTGGTGTTGTTGGCATTTAGACTGAACGAAGAGCGCAGGTGTAACAAGTTGAGGTATACGTGGGTATTAACGATTTGCCTTTGGGAGGCTTGAGACCTTGCTTCTACGACTCCCACAAAGCCGGCACCATATGTGGATCTTTTTATGCCCATCTACACTGCAGTACACATGCGCACTGTGACCATTCGCATGAGGAGGAGTGAAATGATATATATTTGACTTGTTTTTTCCGTTTATTTCCGAGCATGGACTGCTGTGCTCGCGTGTATGGGTGTTGTCGCAGGAGTGCCACAGTCTGTGCGCGCAACCAAAGAAGTGGGGCGTTTTCTCATTTTGCAGTAACGCTAGCGTATTTTAGCTGCTTCACGCGGGAAGCGGGAACTGTGAGAGATAGCGGCGAACAGCGTCTTAGAGCGGTGAGATATTGGTTCAACGCGTGCTGCAAACTTTTATTTTGCTCCTTTGGATTGCCAAACCATGCATATTGCTAGGTAGCCCTGAGAAGAACAGTGCGGCGTGTCACAAGAGTAGGCCGCCAGTCTCTGCACGGATGTTAGCGTTAACTGACTACACCATATTCCGTAAAAAGTAAAGCACAATCTTCTGACTGAGTTCTAAAATAAGTAGATAAATTAATATTACATTTAATATTTTTTGTTGACAGACACACTGGAGACCCAGGCTCCGTTAGCACCTAATAGGAAGCTAAAGGACTTGGGCTCATTGTAAAGGGGCTCCCCAGCTGACAGCTTTTAGAAACTGTAAAGCAATTCATTGCCTTCACTCCCAAGCCCTACAGGTGCGCACGAGGGGGGAAGAGACTGATGTTGTTCTCATGCCAACCACAGCTGGAAGCTAAGGTTGCTGTTCCCAGTCTTTATCAGCATTTCGGAGGAGGCGCCTACGCAAGCTATTTTACGAGCATATGTTGTGTTGTTTAGCGAGGGTATCAAACAAGTTTGCAAAATAGCTTGCCTAGGCGCCTCCTCCGGAAAGGTGAAGACGACATGGAACAGTAGTAGTTCTCAGCTGTGACTGGCATGAAGGCAACATCAGTTCCTTCCCCCGTCGTGCACACCTACACAGCTTATCAATGAAGCCATCTCCTCCCCCACATACTCTCAGTACTTAATGCCATTTCTACTGTGTATTCTTGCAGACTCGCGATCAACATTCTTGTTCGGTTGTCAAGCGAGAGTATACAAGAACCCACAGCAGGAATGGCAGGCACTGAGAATGTGCGGTGGGTGCACAAACTATGCGCAATATGGTGGAGTCAACCAAACCCGCCTCCTAGGATGGAGCATACCCAGCTTACGCGAATGTTGCACTTCTCCACGCTGGCTTCCTTACATCCCATTGCTGAGGGCACTCGATTCTGAGGAGACGTCCGCTTATGGCTACACTAGTCATTGAAATATGCGTCCGTTCGCAGCCGACCCAAGTATGGACCCCGCCCAAAGAAAGTGGTCACTCTACTAGCCAGTCAGGTGACACAGTAGAACACGTTTGCGGGACGCGCTTGAACAGACACACGTGAAAGCTTGCACAAGTATACTAGGACTTGGGTCATGCATGCTTTTCAGTTGCTATAGGCCGTTAGTGTGGATACGCTGTGGTCAGATGGAATCATACTACTGAGAAGAGGAATCATGCACCATTAAATAGGTCTCCAGTGACCCGGGGATGCGACTACGAAACGGAAAACCTGCCTATTAATCCCGAAAAAGACACCTGAAAATTGAACTAAGGACGCATATATGGTCCTTCTTCTTTATTCGCTTCCTTGTGCTCCTCAGTTTTCACCATCTGTTCCCGTAGAGAGTATCTAGTACGGCGCGCCAGAGAGGAGTTGACGACAATTTGTTCTTCTGCTTCACCATTGTCGTTAAACACATGTAAAAATTGAACTCCAGGCCCACGGTTCTCGTTTAAAACACCTTTCTTGCTACGTACCGGCCGCTGTTCTGCATCGAGCAGGATCCTCCAGAGTGTTCCCGTACCTTTCGGGTCTGGTTCGTGGCAGGAAATTTCTGAGATCCTTCTACCTCGAAATGCAAAATCTTGGAAAATATATGTTTCTAGAGGACTGATGTGGATGCATTAATATTAGTTGCAGCGGTGTGGGGCCGCTCCAGTTCGGTGGAGCAGCGCAGGGAAGTACATCCATTATATCTCACGCATATTCTAAAGACTGCCGTGCATCAGTATCTCATTACCCTGAGTGTCGATTGGAGAAGCCACAGAGATACTTTTGGGTTGCAATCTTCCTTGTTAGCTGCCGTACGCGCGGTGCCTGTGAAACAATGGAAGGATCTGACCCTGAATCGGCTGACAGCTCCAAGTCCTCGCGACAGAGCAGACGAAGCAGTGGCAGTGTTGGTCGGCGAGGCAATCCCAGCAGTGCGGCAATCTTTGGGGGTGGGAGTCGTGAGGGTACATCTTCTGCCCGAATGGGTCTCTATGGCGCTCTGTCAAGCTGCGCAGCGGCTGTATTTCTTCAGCCCTTAGATATCATCAAAACGCGACAGGTGGCTGTTTTTCTTAGCTTAGCTGAAACTTTTAAGCGAGGGTTTCGTGTTTCACTTGTTCCAGTATTCCTCCAAACAATGGTTCAGCTGTTACGCCCTTGGATTCGGGAGCTGACGCTCACATTTTCATTGCCGGCAGACTTTTACTCCTTACTGCCCCTTACTTGCGCTTTTGCGTGTGGCAGCAGCAGCAACAGTGCCTCGCTGGCGTGCGACCTTCAATCAGAGCTTCTGCATCTTCAATATACAAGGACTATGGCGCCTTGGGCTTTTGGCGAGGTTCCTTTGCCACTATCCTTCGGGTGGCCCCGGGGACCGGTGAGTACACAAGAATCGGCATTTGGGGCCCATGACTGAAACTCTTGGCCACTGTTTCGTTTTGCAAGTGAACTGACCGCAGTTCGGTTTCCTGTGCAAGGCCTAGTGCCGGTATAATCCATAGCCCCCCCCCCAGATGAGTATTCTGCACTGCAATCCTGACTGAAAGAGTGGATAATCTCTGCACATACGGGTTGTTTGCGGATGCTCGTGGGTCAGGTATTTACTTTGCAGCTTTGGGGCCAATGATGAGTACATGGGAGGGTGTAGCGCCTCTTCTAAAGACCCTACCGCTGGAGCGCCTAACCGACACGCCCCTAGAAGTATGTTTTGCAGCTGTAAATGCCAGTCCTGGTGTGCTTACTGCACCCCATGATGCAAAAGGCATTCTCATGACTTGAAAGTCTGCGATGACGCTGCGCCACAGTTTTTCGATTGCGTTCAGCTGGACCCAAACGTCGTTCCTGCGTGGTATCTGGGTTTCATTTCCGGCGTAGCCAGGGGAGCTGCCGTGGCTATTTTCAATCCGATTTCTATTGTAAAAACCAGAATGGAGTCGTCCTTGGTGGGTTTGCGTTCTGCTACCACGGTAGCGGCCCTCAGAGGGGAGGCACTGCGCTGCTTTGAGGGGCTTCAAGAATGTTTTTGGAGATGAATCATGGATGTGCACAGCATGTGATTACTTTTTGGCCTATGCACGGCTTTCCCTTTTCTGCATTATTTTTTCAGGGATCTGGAGGCATGTCGCAAGCTTTTTTGCAGCTGCTCCGAAACGAACGCCCTCTTGACTGGTTCCGAGGAACTTTCGCTACAATTTGCCGCGATTTCCCATTTTCAGGGCTGTTCTTTGTCGTCTACGTGAACTTGAAAAGCCATATGGGCGTGGAAGCAGACTCCCGAGAGCGCGTCAGTTGCTATGCATTGCAGAACTTCGGTTGTGGAGCCGTCGCAGCAGCCACAGCCTCCGCTATCACCCACCCATTCGATGTGCTGAGGACGCGACTACAACTGGATGGGGTAGCTTCTTCAGCAGGTATGACCTCTTCGACAGCAGCTCATTCTAGCGTTCAGGGCAGTGACCGGCAGGCAACGGCACAGAGAGGGCTCTTTCGTCGAGTCGCACAGTTAGCGAGGGACGAAGGACCCGGTGTCTTATGGCGTGGCCTTGGAATGCGGCTGCTGAAACGCAGCCTCATGGCTGCACTAACTTGGACTTCTTTCGAAGAAATAAAATCAGCCATTTCAGGCCGTTCCTAAGTAGCCCTTGCTTCTGTGGGAAAGAGAGCCCAGATTGCACCTGTGACTCGGTTAATCCTTAACTTTCATGCACGGCCTATGGATTTGCAATTTGCTTTGAGGCATCTTCGTCGTGATCAGGGCAACGGTGGAGTCATCCGGAAACAGCAACACCCCACTGGATATGGGCAGTAGTGATGCTGCACTGTGCACACCAGACGCACGGAAAAGCCGCCCTGTGCATAATGTGGCGTTGCGCTTGCTTACCGACGCCTTTTCGAACCCCATTTATGCGAAAACGGAGCAATACACATCAATCTCAGCTTGTGGAAGAGTAACTAACACCACCAATTGCGTTTTCCAGCGTCCTCCGACACAGATAGAAAAAACTGTCTCGGAAATGGCGGGCCCTGGAGGAGGCGTCTTGCATCCGTCAAGGTAAGGCTCCATCTCCATGCAGCACTACAGGCACCACGGGGGGGCAGGAAGCCAAGAAGCGCTTCACCTTAACAATGACACCGGTTTCCTGTGCGTCAATAACTCGCTTCTGCTGCTGCTGCGGGTACAGAGCGAAGCACCGCTTCCGGCCTGAAACTCGGTCGTAGATGGGAAATTCGGTTAGACGATGAGATTCTAATGCGTTTCCTCGCTGTTGTGTCACTTCTACCCTTTGTGTTGATGTCACCGGAATTGTGAACTGCTCAGCAAGCAGTGGCTTTTTCCCTTCGTGTCCGCTGCACGTTCGCCACCCAAAACAGTTCAACTGGACTGGCTGAAGCCGTGTAAGCAGCTTTAGTGACAACGGGTGCAGAAGCGCTTGGCAATGTGGAATTTCGGGCACAGTAGTTTGCGGAGCAACGGCTGCAACTGCTGCTATTGATGCTCCTTGCAAGTGTGTATTCGAAACACATATTTTTGTTAGAAACGTTTTGAAGCTTCGAACGGCAAGCTACACAGCGTGCACGAAACTCGTGGGATAGCAAAGGAAATGAAAATCTCCATATCTTCCGTAGCAAGCTAGTTAAGCAATTGCCGTCAAGTCTCGTGCTGCCATGCAAGACCACCGGCTCAACTTTGTGGGGTTCTTAACTAGTATGAACAGAGCTTCGCGACAACGGTCTTGGCACTGACGCATCTTACACCGAAATAGAAAAGTAAGGCGGCTGAAGAAGCGCTTGAGCTGTGCGAGATGAAGGGCGCTTACTACAGGACCTAGCACCTTGGCCTGTGTCGATGATTAAGTTGAATCGTAGTACGCACGCATGCAGCTAGCTTTAGAATAGGGATCAAGGCCCCAGTAGGCAAGTGCACGCATTCCAAGATGGTTTGTTGGCTTCTTCTGCCAAGTATGCCAAGTGCAGCCAGAGCCCGATTTCGTATTATGTGGGCTTTGTCGTTGTTGCATCTGACTCTGCTATGGTTGTGCCCTTTGGCAAGTGGATACTCTACAGAACTGGTGAGCGTGAGCCTGCATATGACATTCATGCCTCTTGAGAAGATATAAATTATCTGCATTCTGAATCCATAGAAAACGCGAAAATTGAAATCTCCGTAGTAGCTGGGGCAATCTTCAGGCCCTCTGTGCAGCATTGGCAAGGAGTTCGACACAAAAAGGCTCGCATTTCATTTTCAGTTCAGAGTAGGTTACACCATGCGTCTCTCTACTGCGCGTGTAAATTTTAAGGTGCCGGATTTCCTGGGTAGACACTGAACACCTCTGGAAGCGGGATCACCCAGATTCCGAAGCGTGTTTAGGAGTTAAATAATGGTCTTCGCATTGGAAGCATCTGTAGATGTCGAAGCATTCACGAATAAGTTTAATTTCTCATACAAAGGACGGGTTCCTTTACGAGCCGCTAGGATCAAACAGGAGGTTAGGGGTACGTTCCTAGAGCGGAAATAGTTCTTGCACCAGCCAGCGCCGCATGCATGTCGTTCTCCAGTGAGCTGTGCCTGTACACCGCGCATGCTGCCTGCCAATTCATGCGTGTGCCTGAAGAGTTGTACTCCGAAAGAAAGGCTGAAGATCGCTGAGCATTTTAGTGCAAGAAAAACAAGTGTACTCCAACAAGTCTTGTTCTGGAGACGAAACACCCTTGCAGCATGATAAAGAAGATACCCCGACATCGTATTTCTCTTGATCATGCTGGACGTCAGTGGCGGCCGAATAACGAAGGGAGTTTATTCTCCAGGGCGTAATTAGAGCGCGCGTTAGCTATGCACCTGAATAGATTGAGCTTCTTGCCCATCGTACCCCATCCTGTTGGACAAGCTATGATCCACGCAACGTCATGCGTCAAATCAGGCGTGCGTGGAGCTATCCTCCCGGGCTTCAAGCCGCATAGGCAGTCAAGAGGAGACGTGGTTCTTCTAACTTCACGCAGTGAATGGACTCATCAAATACCTCCGGCATCCTAGGATCATTCGATACAGGCGAAACTGTAGGTCTACGCTTATGGGCCTCTACAGCATACTTGCCAGTTTCGTGGGTTAGCAGGCGCTATCCGACTGCGACCAACACTGTGCATCAGCGCAGCATTTTGAAGGGTAAGTGCAGATGGAAGGCCGAACGCTTTCCGCGGCAAAATGCCGTGGCAAATATAGTTGAGAGTCCAATGCACCAGCCAGTATCTTCGAAGCTTGTGAAGCCCAAAGCAACAAAGCCATGCTGTGTGCGAATACCTGGTTGTAAATTACTACACACAACGGAACACGAGCGCAAGTTAGCGCTGAAATAGCCCAAATATCACGAAGGTGAACAGACCTCCAAATGTACGCAGGTCTTGGCCTGATGGATATGCGACGGACGTTACGTTGTTCTTTAAGGAACAGAGAATGAGAGACACAAGAAAGAGCGCCACTTTCACAGCGGCGCTACTATAGCTTTGAGCACAGGCAGGCAACTCCCGCTTTGTATCATTAATAAGGCCACACAGTAGCTACATAGAAATTTGAGGATCCCCTTGTCCTATTGCCACTCAGCAAATACAAGGGGGATCCAAAGGGTCTAGACTCGGCAAGCGCAAATGGGCGCTTTCTCACTGCTTCGCAAGGGTGTTGCTTGACTTTTCAGGTTTCCAAAGAAAGCTTGCACTTGAGGTACTACATGCAGTTCATGCACCGGAGATGTGCCTTTTTTCGACTTCCATCCAAAGCATGCCGAACATGCCGTGGTGGCAATCTGGACCCACGCTATTCACGGATTAGAGTCAGACACCTGACGGGAGGCCTTCAAACGTAGCTTTGCCCCTTTCCTAATAGTCCGAGGCTCGTCCCTGGTGGCAGAAGGGGCGGCATTTCGTCGCCTGCGATGGCTGGTCAAAGCCTGGTATAGCTGCCGCTGGGGTTGTTTCCGCTGCGACGAACGACTCAGGAATGGCTTCTCCGAAACCTGCACATAGACCATCATACTCGAAAAAGCAGCAGTATCTTCTGTTACTTCGTTCCCTACGATGGCAATTCCCCGGTGCTATTGTCAAGCCAACGGGTTCAGGCACCCTCTAAGCAAAATATGTAGATGGAAGCCAAAAATATTTTGAGAGCAATCCACAAGCCTTCAAATTCTCTGACATCCCTTTTGGATGGCCCCCAGTGATTTTCTCATTTCAAGTACACAATACCTTTTTTTGTTGGATGGGAGATGCTGCCACCCCTTCTTCTGTCCGTATTTCCACTTCTCGTGCCTGCTGCTGAACGTTCTCTGGCGCTCCGTTGTGCAACGTAGTATCTGCTGTATGAGTGAGCGTACCCACCTTCGGTTCGTGGCACTGACTGTCAGGAGTTTCGTCTGTTGTAGAGAGGCTAATTATCTTAAGAAGGTCCTCTAGAAGCTTGCGCACTGCGAGAGGGTCACATATTTCTTCTTCAGACTGAACTAGCTGGTGGAGCGCAGGATACACTGGTCCTTCCAGTGCCGGCTGTGTCAGGGTAGATGCAGCCTCTTCTGGGTGCTGGGGTACGGCGGCGAAGTTAATAGGATCATGAGCCTCCAACAAAAGTGCAGAAGAGTGCCGCTGTGGTGGCTGAGCTGACAGGCCTGGGGAGGCACCAGACGGACTGCACTGCGAAGAACCCAGTAGCATTCTCATTTCACTTTGCGGCTGGGCCACATGCTGCATTTTTTCTTGTAGCTGGTGTTGCGGGATTTGCGCCCACTGGGGAGGCGGTACCGGAGAAAGCGGCTCGATTGGAGCATCTAATTGTGGTTGCTGCACCAGCTCAGGATCCAGGTGCTGAATCTTGGACCCATTAGCGGTTTCGGTGTTAACGAGAGCCCTCTCTCGAAGTGACTGAAATTGTTGCAGCTGCTGGGATTGACCCCTTCCTGACTCTGAACAAGTAAGTGGGTAGTGCTGCTCGCCGTGCAGTGATGCCGCTTGGGGAGGAGTCCAACGTTGCACGGGCGGTATGTCTAGGTGCTGAGGAGGGCGGTAGACTTGGCTCTGCTGTAGAGTCTGGAGCTGCTGCCGTCGAAGTTCTTGTTGCAAGTGTTGCTGCAGCTGTTGCTGCACCTGTTGCGTGAGAAGTAGCTGTTTCTGCTCGTCCGTTTGTCCAGCCTTTGAGATAAACGAGCTCACACTAGTAACATTGTCCTTCTGTTGCTCGCCGTCTTTGTATTGCAGGTGAAGAGCCTGGATGTGCTGCTGCAGTTGTTGCAAGCTAAGTGGACAAGAGGTGGATGATGGACGAGACCCGCTCATTTCGTCTAGCAGGCTGGTAGAGGGCCTATTCGGGTGCTCTTGCTGTGCATGCTGTACTTGTCGCTGCAGGATTGGTTGCGGCAGCTCATCAAGTTGGTGAAACTGTCCCTGCTCCGCATGCTGTTGGGGAAGAGTCCTGGGTTGCTCGTTGGCCCTCGAAATTTGTTGAGGTTGAGCAATACAGAGTTGACTAAGAAGCTGTAGGTCCGGCCAGTCACGTGGTGCTGTAAGCTGCTGTTGGGGTTGCCCTTGCTGCTCCCGCAGATTATGGGATTGCTGCTGTTGGGTCCAAAAAGGCGGATTGGAGTTGGTCTGGATGGAAGACGGTTGATGCTGCGCAGGCGCCGCATCTGCAGCTGCTGCAGCAACTATGGCGGCCTTCAAATGCTGCTGCAGCTCTGCTTTTAGGCGTTCGCCCGCCAGCGACGGTATGCTTGGGGCAGCGCTTTCTTTACAATTCTGCCATCCACCTAGACATCCATTGCCACTGCTAGGGAGGGAATATGAAGAGGGTCTCTTAAATCCTTGCTTTTGCAATACCAATTGGCACTCAGTTTGTGACACCTGAGCAGCTGGAATGCTGTCCGATCTGCCGACAGTTGGAGGCATGCACAGCATTGAGGCTTGGGAGCTACCAGACGCCCTCAGGCCGTCCAGCATCGGCGTCGGTTGTGGCGTATGACTCCAGCTGCTGGAGTTTCCGAAGTGGTGCTGGCCACTTGGTAAATGCAGCAATCCTGCGGGATGTGCAAAGTGGGGGGGCACCCTGTTGCCACAGCTGCTGCTGAGAGCCGGGGAAGGCGGAGGGGTTGGGGGAGGAGGTGGAGTGGCAACAAAGTGTGCATGTGAGTAGTTCAAGTGGAGAGAGGAAGGCAGGGACGGATCACCCTGGTAAAGCAGTGACAGATCCACCACTGCTGCTGGCACCGTTTCCGATGTGCCAATTATTTGCAGAACGGTCTCCTGGCAGGCAAATATACATTCAAGCATAAAGAAAGCTTGAAGCCTCCATGGAGGCGAAGGGATAAACTTAACAGGCACGTAGGGGACGTCAGCTCAGTGTTCAACTGAGTGCCAAAGACTTTCGTACCTTTAGTCCCAAGTGGTGAATCTTATTGTGTAGATATCCGCCTTCTGCAGAAGAGAGAATCTCCACTCCGTGCTTCTTAGCTGCATCGCACAAAGCAGGAGAGCTAGCATTTCCGTCATGAGCTGAGAGAACACAGATCCCTGTGAAGAAGTGCACATGTCGGCTAGCTCTACTTACCGACTTCCAGCATAGGCACGCGCCCCTCGGGATCCGGCGTGAAGATGTGCACGAGGGCGGACTCGGGCACGACAAGTTTGAAGCATCCCTAAAAACCCCAAATAGCATGCGGATTTCTACTCTGAACCAGTTTACAAGGACTGCTGTAAGCAGCTCGAATGCGATTCCCAATAGGGATTGTCCGCAAGGCAAGCTGATTTAGAGAGTTCAATATATATACCTTGGGTTTGCATATTTTTTTTCCATTGTCAATTCGCCGCTCCTCTTCCTTATGCATCGCCCTGTCAAGTGCTACACGAGACACTTCTAGCAAGGCACGCTCCACGCCATCACCAACTCCAACGGCAGTAGCTGTTCGCTCCAGCAAACATGGGAAAAGTTCCCCTCTCTTTGATACGCTGACTTTCAGCCCCGGGCCGTTTCGAGATTGGAATTCCTCAATGCCTGAGGTTTCCACCACATAAGCCAAATATTGCAGGGATGGAGCAGAAATGCGCGACACCTACGCAAGCGCGAGAAGATCAGTAGTGCTATATGCACGACAGGCGGAAGCAGATCTAAACTGTGAGCGTCAACCCACCAACGCCTTTTCGCCCAACCAAAAAGCCTGCAACATCTTCGCCTACGAGAAACTTGCAGAATTTGAGGGGTATTGTAGAAGTCGCCGCATTCGCATTCGACTTTATTGAAACCTTCCGCACTGTATCTGATTGCAGCTGTGTTTCTGCGTGGGTGGCTATAGAGTCTGCTCGCCGAGGTACCCTGGAATCAGCAGAAATCGTTAGGGGAGCAGGTATAGACGAATAAGGGGGCCGTTGCTGCAAAGTTTGTTGCTGCTGGTTTCCAGCAAGAGGATTGATGGGGCGAATAAATCCCAAGTCAAACGTCTCCGTCACGGTGCCTAAACGGTTTGCTGCCTTGATTGCCTGCTTCGCTGCTGAGGATTGAGGAGTGTAAGGGGGTGCATCAGCTGAAAAACAAAAGTTCGAGGATTTAGATTTTTTTCCCGTTGAGGACTGCGAGGCCTCGCTCTGTTTGGCCTGTGGCTGATTGCCCTTAGGGGTGATACGGCTGCTCTTATCTGCGTTCAGGTTTTCCTCTCCGCTGGAGAGCTGCGGTGTTCGTGCACCTTTGGACTCTTGAGGTAGCATCCCTGCCGAATGGCTATCAACTGACGTAAATGCGCCCCCTGGAGACAGCGGAGACAGCGGTGCTTCTGTCGCTGAAGAGTCTATTGCATGATGTTGGGGAGCAGAACAATGCAGCGCTCCCTGCAACACTGGCACCTTTTTCAACTCGTGCGGGACGTCGCTAGTTGGAATGCATCTCTGGATGTCTGCACCACAAAGGCAGTACTCAGGGAAACTCTAATGCGGCCTTCGGAAAATATCATCAGGCAGAACAAAGCTGATGAGGAAACGAAGTGCATGAATGCATGCTTGCCTTGGCATGCTTTAGAAGGGGCATCCATATTTGCTCTCGGTTACTGTATCACCGTGCCGGTCTCCTTGCTACCAGCAAAAATGCGGGCCCAACTTGAAAAGCTCGTGATGGGTCGACTTGGCTCAACAGCGCAGCTAGTCGCTTGCTCCCACGCTAACTTCCACAGCATGAATAAAGTTTCAGCAGTGTACGAAAGATCAAAAGTAAAGTGGTCTGTCTGCTGTCGATCATGCCACCCATGGAACCAAGTCGACGATTTGGCACCAGCGAAGTTTTCGAATTGTCAGGAAGTGTAGATGTCAGGGGGTGCTAGAAGTCTTGCTACCCACTTATTCTGGCGCTTCTTACGGAAAACAGCACAGAAGTGTTGAGAGTAAGGTGCAAGCTGCGACCCACAAGTAAGATCAGGAACAGTTCGCGAAGTGGCCAAGAGCCTGCCAGTCGTTAGGGCCACCCCACAGGACACCGGGAGGCCTTCACTGGCTGTGTTCACTGCTATGAAAAGGCGGTGATACTTGAAGATGGCGTTTTTCCTCTGCTTGAAGGACACGGGATACCTGAAAACGCAGCTCACTCCCCACCGTAAGATGCAGCAAATTTCAACCCGTCCATCCCGACAGAAATTACCCACACGACCAGAAATGAGGAGAAAAGGGGAAAGAGCACAAACAGGATTATCAGAGTTCACTTAACTTGCGACCCGAATGCTTCTTCAGGGCAACTTTGTACTCGGGTCGGAATTGTGCAGGTCACCTGGGCGACGCTGTGGTCTTCAACGGTTCAAGCACGTTCAGGATGCGGACCTCGGTCCTGCCTAAGGGCAACTGATGTGTATTTGCCTGCCAATAAATTGCAAATATTTCATCACTGTTCCAGAAGTTAGAACGTGAACTGCGCGGCCAGTTCCAACTACCGCTGGCAGTGATAGGCTGGGACCGCCAGCGGAGGCAGCCACAGCCGAGCTGCCATCGCCACGGCGTCACGCTGAATGAATCTACGCATGCGTTTTTCTAGCCTTGAACTATGCCTCTCACTAAAACAATGAGAATACCACCCTCAAATACCTCTAAGAAAATACGGTCCATCAAGGTCAAGCCGCAACCGGTGGTCGGGCGAACAGAATATGTGGTCATCAAGTATAGAACTGTACCGGCGGAGTGAGAAATGTGGATTTCATCCGGAGGGAAAAATAGTTTACCACTTATGTACATCAGCAGTTGAAATAAGCAATGCCAAAACTACGAGAACTTCAAAGGTTGGCTCCAATACGTGCGGTCTCCCGAAGGCTGTTGGATAGTGCCATTGCCACTATCAAAGTGCAACGGGCTGTGCACCATCACACCCCCCGAAGCGCTGCCCTGCGGCGGGAATGCCTCTTGCTGGAAACC